GGACTGACATTCCAACTGGTTTATTGAACATAAGGACAGGTTATATACACATACGATCATGACTGTTTACAGATGACTATTTACAGGTTATCTTGTAGTGTGAATACACGACATCCTCCTCAAGCAAAGAGAGAATGTATAGGAATGGTTGAAACACAAATAGTGGAAATGACTTACGACTAAAAATAAGTTAATTGAGAACATCACAATGTAAATATCACAAACTTCTCATCCTCCTCAAGCAAAGAGAGAATGATTTAAGCACAGACAGACCAAACGACAATGAATGAATAAAAGTAGTGAACACTTGACATGATTTGACTCTGTACAAAGGCAAACATAACTGACGTTAGACGGCAGGGTTGAGATTTCACCAGAGCAAGACTTATGACTTGACGTTGACGAACAAGAATTACAGCTTGAATAGCGATTTAACTTCATTTGACAAAACTTTAAAAGAACCATGAAGGTAAAAGTTGAATTAGACAAAATGACACACTTACAACTAAAACTTAAAAGTATTTGACATGAATGACACTGATTGATGAAATTAAGTGCACAAGACACAGTCTAAAAAGGACAATGACAAAGGACTTGAATTAAAACTACTAATGAGAGCTTGACTTTGACTTTTGTTGCGGGGCAACGAATTACTTTACTAATGCATTAGATTTTTTGTTGCTGATCAGGCAACAGACAGTGCTATTGGCACAGACAATGCTAACGTTAGGCGTGACAGTGCATGGAGCACAAGACTACTTGCGCAGGGGCGACCTGGCATTGTATTTGAAATGACACAACAAATGAGCTCGACTAAGACTTAGATGATTGAGACATTGAAAAGACACTTGAATTGACTGAAATGAAATTTGATGACTACAATGAGACTAAAACAAGTTAGGTTGACTAACATTGGACACCGAGTGCGTGCAGCACTGCTAAAGCTAAACTTGAATTGTTAGACAAAAGATACAACTTGACTTAGAAATCTTTAAAAGTTAAATTAAACCTCAGTAGATGAGAACAAGACTGAATTATTTTACACATGAGGCTAAACAGTGCATTGAGCACTTTGCAACAACATCACAGCAAGGCGTCACTAGACCTTAGCTCCGAAGAGACCAAGCATGAATAAGGCAAGACAAAACGATGAAGGTTTTTTTTTTTTTTTTTGCACACTAGATTGTTGTAAAACAATGAAATTAACTTGAAAACTTTCATACACAATGACGGACTGTAAACTGTACACACACAAGGCTAACCGACACTTCAACACCTATTCAATGGAACAAAGAGTTACACCATACACAGGGATAGGATTCAGAAATACTTTGGTTGCCACTTAAAATGTACATAAATGTTTAAGACAAGTTTTGCACTTGGCAAATGGTTGCTAAACTTAAGACAGACCTTTACAAAGGCGAATGAAAGCACTGTGGCTTGCTGAAAGACTAAGGACAACGTCCGACAATTTCATTGAAGTTACAGGCATAGAAACCAAGAAACATTTTAAAACCAAACTTGAGAATACGTTGATTCCAAGGACGATGGGGGTTTGTTAAACCCAAAAGTCTTTAGACTTGAACTGAGGTGTGAGTTAACCTCTACACAACACGTGGAAAGAGGACCACCGAGACAAGCACAAGGCCATTGGCACCTTGACAGAGATTGAATTTGACTCTCAGGCGATGGCGATACCTCATGGTGAACACGGTTGACGTTGACATCCATACTTCCAGCCATGCTGAAGCAATTTGAATGATGGCTTGACGACTCCGGTCTCTTAACGACGATTGACTTCTTTGACGGGCGCGTGAGTTCGAAGTTCGAAGAAAGTTACGAGAACAATCTCATCTCGTCTGCCACTGTAGTATTTTAGAGATACTTGGAGACTGGTGGCTTAGAGCGGTACGTCGTGTGGGGGCCGGGAGTACTGACTGATCAGAGGTCTGACAAGTAATGGACTGACATTCCAACTGGTTTATTGAACATAAGGACAGGTTATATACACATACGATCATGACTGTTTACAGATGACTATTTACAGGTTATCTTGTAGTGTGAATACACGACACAGACAAGTCCCTCCGCCACTGCCAGACCTGGACATAGCCTCTGGCAAACTACACCACTATTCGCAGACGCACAGGTGGCGGGCAGAGCGGTCAGCGCCGCCGCGCGGCCCGGCTGGTAACTAACACCACCGGCCGGCCAGGCAGATCAGTAGCAGAGCGCTGGGCGGAGCGACCGGCCTTGTGAGCGCGGGTGAGGTTAGAGTGGCCCGGGAAGTGAAAGTGAGGACGAGCGCGGAACCGATACAGGAGCTAAAACGTCAAGCAGAAGACGTATGACACAGTGGCAGCTCTGCGCTCGAGCGGACGAGACGATTGACGAGTGGCCTGCTCGTGGCGCGAGTACCAGCGGCTCTGTCGGACGCACAGTTGGGTGAGTGAGGACAGCAGCGCACCGTGCCGGGGGCGACGGGCAGGTGTCAGGCGGGGCCGCGCAACATCCGTCCCGCACCCAAACTACTGCGCCTGAGTGTCGTTCCGCAAACCTGGTGATCGGTTGTCACGAAGCCTTGACCAAGCTGTTGAAGCTAACTTCTGGGCGGTCGGTCAGACCACGATCAGATGTCAGACTATCACTGGTAAAACAAAGGCTTTAAACAATGCATTTAAAAGGCGCTATTAAAGTTTGCCGCCTTAAGAAAGCTGCTAAATTATTGGGGGAAGTTCAGAGGTTAGCGCCTTTGATAACTCTCGCTCTGTGTAATTTACTATTTTAAAAATTGAATCCGTAATCATGTTTATATTGTCAGGATTTGACAATACGATGTCCCAAATCTTGTTAATTACTTGTCAACAAATGTATTTTGAAAGCCATGATTAATAACTTTCAGTCTAATAAATATCGGATCACTTCTACATGGGAAACCAAAATCAAAACATTTTCCGTCGAAATTAATAACTCACATATTTTTGAAGATCATGATGGCTGTGGTGCTTTCAGTCATTGTATAATTACATTTTGGTAAAGAGGCATGTAACACTCTGATGTCCAACCAAAATTTAAGGTAAATGTGGCAAATTTGTCAACTTGGGTGCTGGGGTGGAGAATAGGCTACTACTGCTGGTCTAAGCCTATAGGTTAAGTGCCTCAGCTATTTGACAATGAAGTATGAAATCCACGCACTTTCCACAGTAACTTGCATACTTCCTGTCTCTGAAATAGACTCCCAATCATTATCATCGCCTGGGTAAATACGAATGTCATAACCTGGCCGCAAACCTCTCTGGTACATCTTTCCTAACTCCACGTTAGAGTAGTAGGCGCCAGCGACGTCCTGGACACCGGCCGTTCGCCATTGGTGATTCTTGTAGAACGGCGGCGTCCCTCTCCGGTAGGACAGCGGCGGGTGCGGGTTAGCGCTGTGCTGGGCTGCCGACCGGGCGGGCATGGGCAGGGCCTCGTCGACGTTGAACTGCATGGGTGCGGGCGGGCTGGGCGGGGCTGCCGTGCGGGCGGGCACGGCCTCGGCCATGTTGAGCTCCTTGACGGCCAGACTGGGCGGGGCCTTGCTTGGTGACGTCGAGCTTCACGGGCGCGACCGGGCTGCGCACCGGGGTCGCGGTGTCGACGAGCAAGGCCTCGGGGACGTCCAGCTGCATGTGCTCGACCGGCCTTCGCGAGGCTGCCCTTGGGACGGGCTCGCAAAAGTTGCACTTGCACTCCTGCGCAAGATCCTCCGAGAGGCGACCAACGCTGGTCGTCGGCCACGTCCACTCCTTGGTGTGCTGGGCGGCGGGCTCCTCAGCTGACGCAGCGCGCGGACGCGCGGGCTCGGCGGCAGGCCGCAGGGCCGGCAGGGCCGGCGGGGTCGGCGGGGCCGACAGGGCCCTGGTGATGTGACGTGCAGGGGGCACAGCAGCGCCGCGCGGGACCGCGGACACGGCGGGCGCGGCCTCGGTGATGTGCTGCATGCACTCGTCCCTGGCCTGCGGGGCAGCGCGCAGGGCGGACTGGGCGAGGGCCTCCTTGGGCTTCGGCGGGCCACCCAGGTCGGGTGACGGCGGCGCTGGGCGGGGCGGCGGGGCAGGCAGCCCCGTCGAACGCGGACCGCTGGGGGCCGGGGACAGCGGGCCCGGAGACGGGCTGGACCGCGGCACAGTCACGGGCAGCTCCGAGACGGTGAACAGCTCCGGGTTGATCTCCAAGCCATAATGCTTTGGCACTCTCACTTTCAAAAGTTCAAATACCTCACTATGTGTCTTAGGGGCAAGCATTCGTTCCACAAATTTGAACAGAAATTCGGTAGACTGCTTCTCAGACCGCCACTTTAGTGCAGACCGAAAGAGCGAAATCTCTCGCAAAACTTCAATCCTGGTGGCAGGGCGATACATTTGCAACAGCATCTCCAAGTCCTCGAACGTGGTCCACACGGTACTTGAACACTTCGTTGCACATTGTTCTTTTGTTTGCGCACGGGAAACAGTGCTCACAAGCGAGACAACTCGAGTAGAGAGCCGGTAATACTAAACCAAACAATTTTAAACAAATAATTAAATTACGAAACTTTAAAACGAATCAAATTTAATTTCCCAAACACGATGAGATGTCAGACTACGCCTTCACTTTCAGCATTGTTTTTGGCGAGTAGTCGGTGAGAGGTGCTGGGCTGAGCCCCATTCATACACTTGGGAAGCACGCATACCGCACGGGTTTCCCGATTCATTCGCACGCCTGTCGTCATGCAACCGTGGGGGAGGGGCGGCGCGCGACGCAGCCGACCAGCGTGGTCCGCGCCCCGCCGTGCGCTGCGCCCCTTCTCGGTGCTTTCCTCAATCGATTCTCGATTCTGCAAGTGCACTGTAGATAGGCCTAGTTAATCAGGGCGCTCTGCTCGCAGAATTCAAATCCACTCGCAATGAGTGCCGGTTAAGTAGCCTATCTCCACGGCGCACCTAGCTCTGCCCGTTGCAGCGATTTTCATTGCTTCATTACATTTGGGCCCCGTCAGTGCCGGCGACGGTGGGGGGGCAGGCGCCGCGATATTTCGCTGCACACAAAAGGCTGATTCGGAAGAAAATCGACCCAATTTCTTTGTACCTTTTACGTTTGCTCCCCAACGTGTGCGCACTCTGCCACGCATGCAAAACCTTTTTATCCCCCTCTTCTCTCCCGTGGTTATTTTTTCCCTTAACCCTCCGCTCTGCTTGCGCTGCGCTGCAAATGAGGTACTGCGAGGCCTCTGGTCAACACAGACCAGGCGCACACAGCGGCCAGCGCGGCGGCCAGCATCTCGTATTTCTCGCACCCCCGCCGCTGCATTCGGACCTGCCTGCGGCCGCAGAGCCAGCCGAAAAAGAAAGGTGGGCAAATAAAAAAGAAGAAATATAGGAAATATTCTGCCGCCTTTCCCAATGCTGCTGACAATGGGGTTGCGCGCGTACACACACGCGAAAGAGCACAATGTTGCGGGTCGTAATTGTGGCCGGTGCAGGGCACCGCCTCATTCCCCATTCAGTCATTTTTGCATCAATTAATGGCAAAGGTGGCGGCGCCTCTGCCGTGCGGCGCCGCGCCTTTGTCACGGCCGTGCAGCGCCGGGGCTGCGGGCCGGGGGCCGGGGGCGCGCCGAGCGGCGGACACGGGATTTAATCCCGCAACGATCTCGAGATTGGAAAAAGAGGGCGAAGGGGGAGGAAACGGAGAGAACAGTGTGTGAGAGGAAGAGCAGACAAGCAAAGTCGGAGGAGCAGCCGATGAAGGGACTGGGGGTGGGGATAGGTCGGAAATTGATGTGCGGAAAAAGAAGTCGCGCCGTGCGAAAATATCCGTGGTGCGAAATGGAATGGGGATTACCGGCAATATTTAGAATGAGAAATCCTTAAAAAGGCAAGGAAGCTCCGGCGCGCGGGCTCGGCCCACTCAGAGTCACGGCGGGGCACGCGGGGCCCCGAGCAGAGGGAGAGACCGGCACCGAAAGGGGGAATGGGTTGGGGGGGGGGGGGTCTCTGTCACCTCTTCGATTGCTCTCTATCCGCTCTCATAATCAAATTTGTGTCTTTTGTCATTTTTCTGAGACCTGGACATTTCGCTTGAAAATGAAATATCCCTTATGTATAACCGACCCTAGTCATTCATATGCCTCATGTGGTCATGTCGCTTACCCTTGTCCGCACACATTTTCGGCAAGTTGCATTGAATATCTTTTTATGCGATGCAAGCTCTGTACCACAGCGAGTATCGAGTATTTAATGACTTTTGACAAGTAGATGCGATTCTTTGGTTTGGTTTGACCGTACTCGCGTGTGAACTATTGTCAATCAGTTGTTTAATGTAGCAGTCTCCGTACATTTTGTTAGTTGGGCGGGCGGGCTTGCCGATCTTAGCCCGGTGCCATCTCCTGGCGCCGAGTGGGTAGGCAACCCAGCCAACGCCTGTACGCCACTCAAGTTGCCTAAAGACAAGGCGCCATGTTATGCTGTAGCCACGGGCGCTGCCAGTACGGGTAGCTACTAAGGCTCTTAAAAACCCGACCCGTGGGTACCCGGGTGACCCGGGTTGGAACCGGGTCAACGGGTTTTCCCGGGTACCCGGGATACCCGGGTAAACCCGGTGGAACCGCGCCTGCAAGTAGGCAATTTTAAATGCTCGTATGTCAAATTGCCTAGCTATAGGCGCGGGGCACCCGGGTAATACGCCGAGTACCCGCGAAAACCCGTCTACCCGGGAAAACCCGTCGACACGGTTCCTACCCGGGGGCCCGGGTAAGCGGGTTTTCCGGGTACCCGGGTACAAATAAGAGCCCTAGTAGCTACCTCGGAGGACGAAAGAGTGAACAGTGGTTTTGTTTTTCTTATCTCCCTGAAATCGCAAAATTGGAAGAACCCATTTTTGGATCTGAAGTGGCACCGACGAGTAACCTGCTCGGGCCGACCCTCTCCTTCGCGCGCGGACAGGCGGTTTTCTTCTTTTCTTGCCGTCGTCGTTGTCCTCGTTGTCTGACCGACGACGCGGTCCGCCCCGCCCTTTGGGTCCCCATGCATGTCCCTCAAATGGAGCGCGTCGCTGAGCAGCGGAGCCGCCCGGCCCGTGCGCCCCTATGTGGT